AGGCGAATACAGTCGTGCTTACAGGCGTCAAGTGTCCCACGTGCGGGAGAGTGATGCCTTCTCGCATGCCTGTGACTCCCACCCATTCAGCATCTCGGTCCACAGCTAACTCAAATATCTCAGTTAATTGGAATTCGGAACAAACGATCACTGGTACTGCTGCTAGCTCGAATCTGAAACTGGCGCCCATTACCGTGCGACAACCCCCTTTGACTGTGCCTTGGTTCATCGAACTCCCACCCTCCGCTTCCCGTGCATCATCAAAACCCGACGCTACCGGACATGTGAATACTACTGCAACGCTGTCGGAGGCAACGACTGGCACCCAGAACTTGGCACAAGCACAAGCAGCCCCTGCTAGAGGCGGTCGTATCTATTTGCGTGCTAGGGGTGCGAGGGGGAATATAGGCGACGCACGAGGACGTGGTCAGGGTCGAGATGGGGACGCATCGGCTCCCATCACTATCGTTATACCCGCCCGCCCACGCCCTGTTACCCCTGCATCCACAGTAGCTCCACCTACGAGTGCGTCGACGGCAGCCATAGCCCCCACTGATGCTGTAAAGTGCGACCCTTCGCGCAGATCTACCAGAGGTGCCGGTACTACGTCTACGCACTCGGCGAACCCAGTCCCAACTACCGTAGCGTCCTCAGAAGCACGCGTCCCCACTAAAAGTGTGCGCCCTGGATCTATGAACACAACAGGCGGTGCTGATCACGAGGTTGCAGTCGCTGCTTTTGCACGTGCATACTACTCTCGATGTAATACGAAGCAGAACGTCGCTGCGGGAAGTAGTGTGAACGCCGCTAATAGCACTAAAAGCACTCCTCAGAACCGTACCTTCGGTCCATCTGGTGCATTCACTTTTGGCTCTAACTCTACTGGGGCACACTACCCTCGTTCCACCACAGGCACTGCTGCAAACGCTGCTGCCGGTCCCTCGCGTGGCAAGGCGATCGATTTTTCTGATCCCAAACTCTGGATAACGCGGGCGCGCGCTGCAGGTCGCTTGGCTGGCTTGTCTGACTTTGCAGCACAGTTGTCGGACAGCCTCACAACGAACGGCAATAGAGTTCAGACTACGGTGGCGTGGAACAAGAAGCGCAAACTGGACAATAGTGGATAGAGAACAGAAGTTTTTTTTTTCCTTCAGAGCTGAATCATCGTCGGTTTGAAATTGTTAGGGGAGCTTGCAGGTACTGTATGCCCTGATCATGATGCTCCTGTTCGACACATTGTCATTGGAAACTCTGGACATACACGATATACTTAGAACTCAGTTAGCGATGACCGATCATTGTTCGAACGTTTCGGCGATGAGCACTATGTACGTTGTTCCACCAATGATGATTAGATCATCTATCAAAGATTGATCGAAGACTTCAACTTGAAAAATTAAGGGTTTCAGACAGCAATTGAAAGAGTTCCCATTGGCATTGTCCAGGGCCACCATGAAGTCTTCGTGACAGTTGTCTATATTTTCTGAGACAAAGTTGAGATGAGGTAAGGCGGTCGGACAACTTGGTTTTAGTACCATAATGCTCCCCGAAATCGCCCGTAGGCTATGATTACTAGCGCTGAGCGCTGATCGATGATGCCGACATGTCAAAACATTGCCATACCGCCTCATTCTCGGTGACCCTGCATCAACCCAGTTCCGATGATCCAGGAACTTCGAGGGAGCATTGGCTCTCCATTCTCATCGGGCCTCTATTCAAATCATCCATTTTTAGTGGAACACCGACACGGAGCGTTCTGGTTTGAACTATTATGATGTACTATGGCTCCACAGGCGCAGTAAGTGGCACATCCATTATGATCATCTATCAGGTTTATATTTGTCGCGTCCAGGTTCCGTTGGACTGGAGATCCGGACAGGGTGAGCCTGAGGTTGCGACTCGAATGAACTATCTACCGTACAAGTGAAACATTTTTGCCCGCTACTAGGGACTGCAGTCACTGGGTGCATCCCTGTCGCGGGTGCATGACCCATATAAGTGCCTTAATTTGTAGTGCTTTTCTTCTCCCTGACAAGAACGTGGTCTTTATTCTACGCGCTCATAGTGGCGCCCGGGAGGGGCCTGTCGGGATCAAGTCGGGATTCTTCCGCAGCTGATGCGGGTCTTGTCCTTGACCCGAATCCCGGCACTATTACCAGACGAACGTGCTACGGACGCTAGTACATACTTGGGAAGGGTGGCATGTAAGTGAACCCTTCTAGCTTCAAAGCTTCAGTAGCGGGGCTCAAGTGCTCATTTCCAGGTAAAATCGAGCTCCGCGACGGCTATTCTTCAAAATAAGGAATTTTACTTCTGCGTCGGCAAACGTGCGTTAATGTAATTTAGTATTGGTACGGCGTTTAGTGGGTACTGGGCCCTGGTGCACCGATGCCACAGAGATCACTTGGCAGACTGCGATAACGTTCCAAATTGCTCATAAACGTGGATGCATAGTATGGGCAACCCCAGCGCTCCTTAATATTGCTCCCTCCCTACTATCATTATACCATCCACTTTCGTCAAAACGGCTGATACAAGCAGGAAACCCCACTTACTAGTAATATGAGCACTATCTTCAACGGTGATTCCCAAATGGAGGTGATTTATCTTATTCCTGCGGCGTTCATGCTCATACATACTTACTATGTTAGGTTATCACCGTGCTTGCCAACTGCGGGACTGACACCGACAAGGCTAGGCAAGCTCTTACGAGGTACATAGCACGAAAGCAGGAGAAAGGAAGGCCGACAGAACACATCTTGAAAAAATTGCGACAGCTGGAATTGAAAGTCGGTAGCCTTGATATTTTACCATCGCCGCCCACTGTTAACACAACTTCCTGCATGCAGTTCATCAATGACACCACTTTGCATACCGCTTTCCGAGATGCTAGAGCATCTACGTGTCTTCCACGATCACCAGATGTACCCCTGCCTGACTTTGTCCTCCGTGAAACGGCTGCGAGGACTCGCCGGGATAGTCGTCAGAGCCTGTCGGCGCAGCCAGATTTTGCAACTCCAAGTCCTAGTCCCTCCACCCCCCAAAGCTGGTTACAACCATCTTACTCGCCAGTTCAACATGTAGGCACATCCATAATAGAGGAAGATCGGATTCAACCCGAGGAGGCGTCGCACAATACTTACGAGACTTCGTTGAGGAGACCTTCACTACCACCCACCAATGCCCCAGGAAGATTGTCTGTACTATCACCGTATGCTTTTCAAACCGGCTCCGGTCGCTCTCGCTCCTCTACTCTCCCATCATCGCCGATGTCATCACCACTTACCCATTCTCAAAACAAACTCCGAATTTCATACAATTCTCCACCCCCGACGTCTCCCCTCCCCGATATTCCACTAGATGCAACTGACGACTATGATTCGCATATCCCGCGATTTCACTTACCGCCGCCAGCCAAACCTCGTCCCTTTTCGTCTAGCTCCAAGAGCTCTTCTAGTTCGCATTCTAGTTATCCAAATCCTCGTACACCCGAGATTGTTCAACCACTCCGCCCTGGATTCTCTTCACAGTCAGCTACGATCACCCGAGGCGACATCAGTTATCCACCACGGACAGAAAAAGATTTACCCCAGCAACCGCTCGTCGTTATGGAACACTACCCTTCGGAGACGGACATTCCTAGCATGTTTTTACCCAGTCGGGAAGGCTCTTTTGACGTATGCGACAACTCAGGGGGTGACTGTCCCGTCCCGTATCGCGATTCACCTATACTCCGCGAACGGCCTGCCAGCCATAACCACAATTTCAGTTTTCCGCTAGACAACGCTCTGCAGCTGTGCAATGCTTCTCTTGTTGTTCGCCGTGAGGTGACCCGGTGCCTCCAGCAAGACCAAGGGTACGAGCAATACAACTGGCCGACCGTCTTGCAGGAATGCGGTATAGCTGAAGATGACATTCCATTCCTTCTGAACGAGATGGCTCGGGAAGTGGAGTTCACGGTATCCAGGGCGTGAATCATACCTTTATATTTATTCTTATTTGTCGCATATTTATGGGTTGCCAACTTGCCAGCGTTCCGCTGAGCTGTTATCGTGTAATGTAATACTTTTGGAAGTTCGGTACTGGCGATATTAATGTTTGGGTGAGTTGCAGTTTGATTGTATGTTTAGTTGCAGTAAATATTAGTCCTAGGAGCGCTGGTCATATACTGTACAATAACATTACCCGATATTAGCCAACCTGAATTTCAAGACTTGGAGGCATAACAAGACAACATCTCGACTATGTAGTGAAACTAATCATCCTAAGGTAGCCCAAACTAGTCACTAGTACTTCAGAGGTAGTGCATAGTGCATATGGCACAAGGCCCTCAGATTCGACGAACTTGAACGTGAGCATGTGTAATTATTCTCGCTGGAGTTTCGCCGTCCAACATCTCGAGATAGATGCTCTTTACATATGTATTATAGTCCAAGACACCATTTCCCAAGCTCCTGAAGTCCGGGCTCCTTATTCGACTCGGTGTATCTGGCGTGGGCAGTTGGATGCTGGAGACCACTTGCCGATCATCAGGTGCCACGTCAGGAACTTGACGATTCGGAACGCATTGCCGATCAGAGGGATTCTGTGTATATAGAAGCAGTGATTGGTCCCTGGAGCAGGGGCCAGCGGCCTGAGTCCAACAAAGCATCGTTGATGATGCGAAGCTACGCACATTCTAGTCTACGTGCTGACTGAGAGCAAGACGATCGTCGGTGATGCGAAGCTACGCACATTCCGGTCTACGTTCTGATTGATATCAAAGCGAACGTCGATGATGCGCAGCTACGCACATTCAGGTCTACGTGCTGACTGAGTCGTGGAAAGGCCGTGGAGACCGAATAGGCGCCCTTGGACCCCTATTAACCCCGTGCCCGGCATCACGAATTATGCAGCGGAGAGATCACATACCATATAAACGAGAGCCATGCGGTACCCCAGACGCCAGCTGATTGCTATACCCACACCTCGTATCCTGTTGATGGAGGATATGCTCACAGATGTCAGTAGTTCGTGAGAAGGCCGCCGCGTCTCCAAACAAGTAAAAAGATTCATTTGCGAGTTCGCTATCTTGACAATGTCGCTAAGGAAGAAAGGGAATGGAGTCTAGCACACGAGAAAGAGGCAAAGTCCATACTACTACTGATGCCTTCTTTTCTACCCCAAACCTGTAGCCGGCTATGCGAAGGCGGCCGTACTATACGTCAATGAACCGCTTCCCCGAGTTTTCCATCAGAAACTGACGGATCGATCCGGTCCCAAGTATCATACGAGGTTTGGGGCATCCATAGAGGATCCACTGTACGCCATGTCCATCATCCAATAGAGGTAAAATTCATAGCAAAAACTCACATGGGTAGTGTCACCACGGTGGTAAGTGGCACATCTCGACTACTTATGTCTTCTGCGCAGGAGCTGGAAATGTTGAGAATATGGTTAAAAACCATCTTGTCACTCGTACCTTGACTTTAGGTCTAGGAAGGCAACAACTATTCGACCCGATGCGACAGTGCTACAAAGTAATTGAATAAACGGCGGACGTGATAATGTATGCAGATCCAGACCTAATAGCAGATGCTGGTATGACAATGATCAGATAGTGATTGGAAATTTTCTGCAACAACTTACCCGGCATCGCAAATATAACGTTCATGACAGCTAGCGTGCTATAAATTTCAAAATGATATTAAATAGCAGGAGTTCACTTACTATTCAGATTCAACGAAGCCACAGCCTTCGCAGGAGACACGGAATCAGATGGATCTTGGATTCTGTTCATTAGCACGTACGGCTGGTATGATATTTGCCAAGCAGGTGATCAGGACATATGTTAACCCCTGTTTGCACAATACTTTCCACAATTCATTAGACGATGGCATATTTCGAAGGCCGATTATAGTCAAGACAAGCGCCAGTATATCATAAGCCATCGCTGCGCAAGGCGTCAGTGATGGAATAGAACACTGTCTCTGGGACATACTGTAGACAAATATAGTGGTCATATCAGTATGGTCAACGACCATGAAGCCACAACTGCCATTCACTTTCATGACGGAGAAGGCAACCATTACTGTGATGGCGGTGTTAAGGATCAAATTATAGTATTGCTTCAGACAACTCACCCCGTAACAGGATGATCCAGTGGCCAACCGTGGCTAAGACCAGAAATATACGGATACATCTGAATGCTCTCCAGATTATAAATCTGTGCATGTTGAGGGAGGGCTTCGAGAATCGAGATTGCTACTGAAGCTCACGGTCGTAACATTAAGTTCAAGGAAGAACAACCAATGGATGCATTTCCTGCAAACTGTCACAGCAATTGAGACGATGAATCAGCGGTACATCATAGCACACTCACAGAAAAGGCCAAAAAAGCGCCTGTCATGATGAACCTGAGCACGCGTCTAGTAGATTAAAATTTAACGAAGGATTCACTATGGCAATCCACACTAGGAGGGACCGGGCTGCTGAGCCAGCAACTGATGTTCATGAGAGTCTGCTGTGACAGTCGATGAATCAGATACGCACATCAAAGCCATGGACGACAGAAGAAGAATACGACCGGTGATGTACGGTAGCTGATGAGATTGGCATTTCTGTGATAATGGACAAGTATACAAACTGCTGCTTACTAGAGGCCATCTAGGTGGTATGCGTTTGCCAATCAAAGCAAGTTCAACTTGCCATGATCCTGCGTACTCCCACCTACAAGTTGGCCATGAGCAGGAGCTCTTAAATATGAGAAGTAACAATACGCACATGTACATACCAAGACATAAAAAATTAGTGTGCTCTACAATAGTGCTGCATTTCGAGATGACGCTGGAATCCGACCAGTTGACCATTCGCCTGCTGTGTCTGTAGCTGTAAATCGCCGCTAGCCACTTGTCGGTCGCTTTGTCTTGGAGAGGGGAGCTGGTTCCAGAAGAGATGAAGGGAGGATAAGTAAGAAGGAAAGGGTTATTACTGACATAACCCTGTCTAATTTCTATGGGGCAACTGACAGTGTGGAGAGCGGTGACTTCCGGCAAATATCCCCAGTCAGAAGCGTATCCCGGTGTTGCGCGTAGACGATCCAGAAAAAAAACTGCCAGGCAAGATGAGCTGGTGTGAGCAGAAGATGTAATTGGCGGTTCTGAATTGAATCGTGTTTAAACGATTTTCATGAAGAGTCGGGCGACGGGTGCTTATGATTAGGACACATGAGAATTATATGCCAGGCTCTGGTGAGAACAGAGTTTATGAAGACGAAATGAAACTGGCTTAGTGGCAGTTGCTGACAGTGTGTGAACTAAGGGGCGAACGGTGAGACTTCCGGTGGCCGCCAAACCTTTCCTCACATAGTAGTCCTCTATGGTATGTTCATCTATTCTCGCCTTGTTCTGTTTTTACAATCGGTTCGGTTCCCGCTAAGTAACCCTTGCAGGACCTCACTAGCACTTGGGACTCGTGCCTAAACCTTCCCTTCCAGTTTTATGTAAAATACATCAGCAACGCTCCTATATTCAAAAGTTGCTCTGCTATGTAACCTTGTGCCTGGCAGGCTGGCGCCGTACCTGCACTACTAGCGCTTCCACCCTGCTGCGCTTGCCCTGCGCCACCTGCCCGCCAAATTCCAGCATCCAGTCGTTCGTTTGCATTCCAATATGATAATATCATCCGGTTGTGCTCCCCGCCATTCACACTATTCGCCGTGTTTTTGTACCTTCTCGCAATTCACCACTGATGTAGCGCCGTAAGTTGTTAATTTTTGTCCGTGCTCATTCTCCGCTGCAGACTAGATCAAATTGACTGCCAAATTCAAGGCCAGTTACTAGTTCCACTCATGCTCACTTCCCTCCTTTTGCACTAGGTTCTTGTTGTTCATTTTATTCTGGATTGGCATTGTCTCACTGCTGAATTGTTACAGCCTCGTGCTTACCTGGCTCTGCTCAGCTGTGTGCCGTAATTTGGTAGCCCACGTATCTCTATCCCGCTATTGGTTCTTCCTGTAGGATCCGGGACCAAATTTTCCTATGGTACCACCCCGTCGTTATTTTAATAAGCATCTTAATGGCTAGAGCAAGTCAGACTCAGCGAGAGTAGAACAAACGCTATATTGAATACCTAGAGCAAGTCAGACTAAGCTCTAGTAAGTACGAGTGTTAACGAGCTACGAGACAAATGACATACCTCAGCGAGAGTAGAACAAACGCTGAGGATAAACAAACACAAGAAGACCGCTACTAATACTATACGGAGTTGTTAGGTAAGCGTGGCTGAGTGTTCGACGGTGAATCACTGTATAGTACCAGGAAGCAGGAAGTAACAAGGAAGTAACAAGATAGGTAACCTTCATGCCAATACACCCCCTCACCGAGACACCAGACACAGACCAACGAGATGCTTCAAGAAGAGCGGACGAGCGAGAGCTTTTGTGAAAATGTCGGCGATGTTGGCATGGGACGGCAGCCAAGTGGGGACGAAGGTACCCTGGGATACGTGGCCGCGAATGAAATGGTATCACACATCGATGTGTTTCGAACGGATGTGGTTGCGCGCCTCCTTCGACAATGCGATTGCCCCAGTGTTGTCCATATGAATGACGAGGGGCATGGTGAGTGGGAGATGAAGCGTGACAAAGAGAGACTTCAACCATAATCCTTCTTGGATGACGTGCGTGATGGCCATATATTCTGCCTCAGTGGATGATAACGCGACGGTGGCCTGCTTCTTCGAGACGTGAGCTATGATCCCCCCAGCAAAGAACCAAGCATAACCGGAGATGGACTTGCGATCCTCTGGCGAGCTGGCCCAATCAGCATCGCAATAGCCGTGCAACGGCTCGTCTGCACGCTCTCCGCCATAATGTAAACACAGGCTGATAGTCCCGGCTAGGTAGCGCAGTAAACGCTTTGCAGCTGCATAATGAGAAGCCGAGGGATTTGCGCTGAATTGTGCGAGGGTGTTGACAGAGTAGGAGATGTCAGGCCTCGTGCAGACTGCGAGATAGAGGAGCTCCCCGATGAGTTTGCGAAAGCTGCTGGCGAGGTTGGGAATGACAGGATGAACGTCCAAGGGACGACCGAAGGGATAGTTGGCATCGAGGGGAAGGTGGACGGGGTTGCATTCAAGCATACCATATTCCTCAAGAAGGTAGGTGATGTACTCGGATTGATGCATCCAAAGGTCGCGAGACGAACGATCACGTTCGAACTGGATGCCGAGGAATCGTTCAACCGGACCAAGGTCTTTGATGCCGAACCGTGCATTAATCTTCCCCTTGACGTATGCCAGGAAACGAGGAGAATTCGAGGTGCCTAGGCTATCGTCAACGTGCCAACCGATGATGCAAAACGTACGAGTTCCAGCGGCATCGATACGGTCAAATATGAACACGGCGTAGTCCACACCACAACGCGTGAAGCCTAATTCCTCCATGATGGCTCGTACCTCCTCATACCATTCCATCGCGGACTGCTTAAGTCCGTAGATCGTACGCAACATCTTCCAGACCATGACACACCAGTCCCCTTGCTCAAAACCCTTAGGCTGGCGCATGTATATGTCCTCTTTCAACACTCCCCACAGAAACGCACGAGTAGCGTCGAAGGTATCGAGATCCCAACCGTTTTTACAGGCGAGCGCGGCAATGATGCGGAGAGAGGCAGTTTTCAGAACAGGAGCGAAGGTGGCACCAAAGTCGACACCAGGGATCTGGGAGAAACCTTGGGCGACTAGACGAGCCTTGGACACTGGCCCTCCCTTCTTGTCCTCTTTAAATTCAAGCACCCATCGATTGCCGATAGCACGTCGCCCTGGTGGAAGTGTGGTGAGTCTGTAGACGTTCATCTCATCCATGATACCCAACTCTTTCTGCATGGCCTCCAACCAATCGTCACGGTCTGAACGTAGGACGGCTTCCTCGTAAGATGCAGGTGGGATCTTCATGTTGTAGTCTGCGCTGAACGGGTCGCGTTTGCGATCACTTCTGATGGCGAGATGTGCGTGTTCCTCTATCATCAAGTTGGCAAGTACCTCTGAGACGTCAACGTTGGGCTCAATCTCCTCTAATTTCTCCACAGGTGCCTCAGGTGCCTCCTCAGTCACCCCCTCAGTGAGTGCAGGCTGAACAAAGCGTGCTGCACGTGCTTCACGAAGCTCGACAAGGCGCGCTTTGGTGGAGGCAATGGCATCTGCATATGCCCTACCACCCTCCGTTTGAGTGCGTGTGCGAACTGATCTGCGAGGAGCTGGTGGAGTAATGGGCGCAGGAGGAAGCGATGACTGTGAGGCGATGGAAGGTTGTGGTGCAATGGATGGTGTGGGAGGTGGAGAGACTGCATCGTCGTCGTCGGAACCGTCAGAGTCGGAGAGGGTGACAGATGGGAAATTCTCGTCGAAAATAACATCACGAGCCACAAAGAACGCACCAGAGACCTTGTCACGTAGTCGATAGCCTTTAGTACCGTCGGGGTAACCCATGAGGATGGCCTCACGAGAATGAGGACCCAACTTGGACTGGACTTCTGTGGGAATACGTGCGAAACAGCGTGAGCCGAAAATGCGAAGGTGTGACAGGTCTGGTTGTTTGCCATTGATGATTTCATAAGGCGTGATTCCTGACGGCAACGCCCGAGACTCACTTCTGTTCCAGAGGTAACAAACTGTAAGTGCCGCCTCACCCCAAAGATTAACTGGAAGACGAGCAGTCTCCAGTAGGGCAAACAAGCGTCCTTCAATGGTACGCATGACACGCTCAGCTTTCCCATTTTGCTGATGAGCATAGGGTGCAGACAATTGACGCTCTATTCCAGCGTCCTGGAGAGCCTTGCTGAATGCCGCATTGACGAATTCGCCGCCGTTATCGGACCTGAAGACCTTCACCTTACGTTCGAGGTGGTTTTCCCAGCGGTTCTTAACCGTGTGCCACGCCTCCAATGCCTGATCCTTCGTTGCGAGGAGCTGGAGGTTCAGAAGATGCGAGTGATCATCGAGGAAGATGACGAAGTGGAGTTTACCGTGAGGTGTGATGACGGGGAAAGGTCCGCAGAGATCTGAGTGGATGATGTCGAGGGGGTGAGCCATGCGAGGTTCTGCGGATGGGAAGAAAGGTTTTCGCGGATGTTTCGCGATGATGCAAGGCTCGCAACGACGTAAAGGTGCGTCTTTGTCAACGTGGACGCCAGTAGCGATGAGCGGCACTCTCTTCACAGCCTCCCCACCAATGTGCCCTAACCTGGCATGCCATAGGTCCCAGGTTAGCGCAACTCGTGCAAATGTTGCAATCTCTGCAGGAGGGCGAAGGAGGGTGGCCTCGTCAGGACGAACGAAACGCAAGTCCACGGAGAAGAGGTTCCCGACTTCAGGTATCTTGCCATAAGGTTTCCCTTGGTGAGAGAGCTCGCAACGCGGTGGATACGGCCGGAAGTTGCACGACCAACCCTTCTTCAACATGCGGGAGACAGACAGGAGATTGATGTAAGCACCGGGCGCGTGGAGACAATCGGTGAGTTTGATTCTATACGTGTTTCCGTTGAGAATTAAATCTGCAACGCAGTCCCCACGGCCTGAGGTGGAGAGGAATCCGTGGTTCGCGGTCTTGACCTTGACGGACGAGTTTTGCGCATATGACCAGAAGACGTCTCGGCTCATGATGAGAGTGGAGGTCGTGCCAGAGTCGAGGATCATGGTTGTGGAGCGAAGCGCAAGATGCGAGTAGTCCTGTTCGAGCTCTTCGATGACCGCAAAGGAGAGGTTCTGACGGTGCGAAGACTCTGTAGCCAATGCAGCAGTAGGGGCAGGAGGAGAATGTACTGGTGCAGGTGTGTTGGGAGGTTGTGCTTCACTCGCTGATGCGGAGACGTCCCTCCTCGGTGCTTTCGCCTTCTGTGCCCAGGGCACCTTTCCTTCCATGCCACCCCCAGGCTGGAGACAATGCTCGCGGTCATGGGTGAGTGAACGAGGGAGACCTACGCAAACGGGATTCTCACATGACACCCCCTTAGGGTTATGTCTGTGAATCCGAACGCCGGTAGAGGGGTTGGTTGCCTTTCCGCTAGAAGAGGCGTTGGCAATATTTGTGTACTCGGACCCTGGCCGAGCCATTTTCAAATGAGCTCGTTGACGATTCGCCTCCTCCGTGAAGGATGTAGCGACTTGTTCGAATGAGACGAGCGTGGTGGGTGAAGACGAGGAGGATGCAGTGGATGGAGATGGTGCAGTGATGTTGGCGGAACTGTATAGACCAATGGTAAGGCTCCGGAAAACGACCCACTGAGGAGTGTCAGGAAGGCCGTTCAACAGCATGAAGATGGCTTCTTCGTCGGTAAATGTGATCCGCATTTCTGCGAAGCGACGACGACCATGTTCGAAGACACCAAGGTACCGTGCGGCATCTTCTGCGTCTTTGAGTTTCTCGGTGAAAAGCTGCGAACGCAATTCATACTGCGAGGTGACATCAAGACGCGCGAATCTTTTCGCGAGCATCTCCCATTGCTCTCGAGCGGAAAGCCCTTCATCAAGGATGTTCTGGACGATCGGAGAGAGCTTACGACCTATGATCGCCTTTGTTTGTGCGTCTTCCTTGATCCATTCTTTCATTAATTTTAATTCATCTGCCGTAGGCTGTCCTGCTGTTGCAGGCTTAGGCATAGTGCTCACGTATTCGGCTATGTTGCCAGGATCCGCACCGCTACTGCAGTGGTTCCATAGGCCTTCGCCTGCTAACGCGAGCCTGACGGCCCGTCTCCAGCTCGGGTAAGAGTCAGCGCCCAGAAGCTCGTTAATATGATCAAATTTCCCCATGGTTGATCTCGAAGAGGGTTCTGGTGCGACGTAAATGACGTGATAGCGGTATTTGCAATGAGTCGGTTGTTGAGCGTCCTCAACGTGAATCTAATCTTGTTCTAATCTGAATTACTGAGCTTCTAGAGCTCAGGGCTCATAACCTAATGGCTAGAGCAAGTCAGACTCAGCGAGAGTAGAACAAACGCTATATTGAATACCTAGAGCAAGTCAGACTAAGCTCTAGTAAGTACGAGTGTTAACGAGCTACGAGACAAATGACATACCTCAGCGAGAGTAGAACAAACGCTGAGGATAAACAAACACAAGAAGACCGCTACTAATACTATACGGAGTTGTTAGGTAAGCGTGGCTGAGTGTTCGACGGTGAATCACTGTATAGTACCAGGAAGCAGGAAGTAACAAGGAAGTAACAAGATAGGTAACCTTCATGCCAATACATCTCACTGCATCCCGTGAGTACGATATCCAAGGGTCAACCCTTTCTTATTTAACGGGCATTCCAGCCTTCATTCGGCTCTAATTCGTCCATGCAACATTCAAGTCTTTGCTAATTTGCATAGACTCGACTCTTCTTTGTACATATCATACATACAAGAAATCACTGCCTGGCTGCTCAACTTGATTTATATAATGCTGAACAGAGGTTCGGGAAATCTTTAGACTCGACGAGTGCACCCTGAAAATTAAACAACAAAAGGTGTGTTTGAGTTATTGACCAGAGTCTGAGTTTTTATAGGAGATTCATTCATTGTGAACATGACCATTTGATTTTATTGTTGCGGTGATATTCTTTTGAAAATAAAATGTATAGATCTTGCAGTCCTCGGAATCCTTCGAGTCAATGCCCATTACATACCCCTGGCCGCATCACGGCCGTCAAAGCCCGAGTCAGGGTCGGGCTCATTGATGCACATCTACAAAGCTAAGCGCGCCAGTTTGATCCAAACTGCACTCCCCGTTTTGACTAGGCCAGTAACCTCTATCGTACACTGACGAGAGGCTCAGGGAATACTCTAAAATGGCAAGTCCGCTGCAGATGCAGTCACATACTTACGCCATCAATAAGATTGTTCACGCGATAGTATCAATCAGATATCGCAACAATGTATAAACGATTAGCAAACAAACATTAAAGCCTAGTCTACTCGAACACCCGACGAACAACACTATGATTCATGGATCAGAAATTCAGAATAATACTTTACTGCATCTCGGCAAAAATATCATCAACGAGCTTATCTACAGCTGCCCTCTGCGACGGCGACAGGCTGTCCAAACGTTGGACGATTGAATCGAATGTTGCCCTATTGTCCTCGACGACAAATTCTGATTTGCCGTTCAAGCCGTTAGCATGCTCCTGCAGTGCCCAAACTAAGATTGTGCCAGAGAATGCAATGATATTGTTGAGATCCCGCTTGTTTGGGTCAATCCAGCGGGACAACCTCTTCTCGTGCAATACGCGGCTGATTATGCGGAAGAGGGCAGGGTTTCCAAACGCTGCATTCTACGAAGTCCAAGTCAGACTTTGGAAACAGTTATATCTGAAACTTTGAATGGGACTTACAGTGTCTGGATCGTCGAGGTAAGCGAAGCCAATGCAGAGGCTATCAATGTAAATCTTCTGGTGCACCAACTCTTTGCCCCGCTCACTGATAGGGAGCGCAAGATCAACTGCGGATCGACCTACATCTTTGAAGATACTTCGGATGGTGTTCGGAATGGTTTTGAGCTTCTTCAGCTCGGTCTTTTGGCTTTCAACTACCCATGCGTTGACGGAGTCCATTGTCGATGATGATGAATGCGTCTCCACTCCCTTATTGAATGCGCGCTGCGCCATGTCCTTTAAATCGTTGCTTGCCACCATCAAGTTGTTGAGAAAATCCCTCTTGAATACATTGCGAGCGCTGTCGACAATGCGCGAGGTGGTGACTGATGACGGTGGAGGTGGTTGGGTACTGTTGGATGCAAGAGGTTGACCACTAATGGCAGGGTAACCCAAGCCTGGTTGGGCTATGTGACCCGTGCCTGCGGGTTCTACAGGAGGGAGGCGCAGGTGGACGGGCTTGCGAATGGCTCTCGAGGATCCAGGTACAACCTAATATTTAGATTAATCAACGTTGATTACTATACAGAAGACATACCCGAATCACGCCAGTTGAAAATTCCTCGCCCCGTATCAGTTCACCTGGTCTTGGCTTCGCATATGCCATGACGAGGCGATAGGCTTCATATGGTGCTGCTCGACTCACTGCACGTACTGAAGGGACACGTACCAATGCGTCACTGTGGCCTGGCCGCATCCTCAGGCCTGACCTGTAGCTCTCGACAGCCTGGTGGACTCCTTCCACATTGAGCATGGGAGTCTGCACACGGGTAGTGGACTGTGTGGGTATCTGCTGCTGAAATCGAGTAGGTGGTACGGTTGATGGGCCAGCTATCGATTGCTGGTTAGAGGGAGGTATCTGCGGGGCCATCCGTGGCAGGAATTGCGTAGGTGTTATGGTCGATGGGCCTGCCATCATGTCCCGGCTAGGGAGGTCTGACATCTGTGGGAGCCACTGCTGCACGAACTGAGGATGGGCCGTCATCGGTGGGCCGCCCCTCATGTCCCAGCTAGGAAGGTTCATCTGCGGGGGGCGCTGCTGTGGGGACCGTGCATATGATGCCATCGATGGACCAACCGTCGTATCGTACATATATGGTAGCCCCTGCTGCAGGGATCGTACATATGGCACCGGCCTTGGTTGTGGGGGGGGCGCGGCTGGTGGCTGCATAGCCAGTCTGGATGGTGCTACCGGACGCTCCATGGCCAGTCCAATCTGAGCGCTAGCAGTATTTCCACATGGGTTCTTCCCTGTGGACTCCGGGTATTTCGGTAATTGCTAGAAATTTGTTAGTTTGTAGCGATGCAATGATAAATAATTGATATCGCACCTTTGACTTCCGCTTTCCCTTCGATGCCTTCTTGGGAGGCATACTTAGAGAGAGCTGGAAAAGCTGAAGGCAAAGGGGAACAGAACTAAACTTATAGCGGCACTGGCCGTCGACAAATCAGACACATGTTTCATTGAGGCAGCAAATCGAGGGTGGAAGCTAGAATTCAGTCTGAACACTCATGGTGAACATGTAATTATAACAGGTGTGATCAGTCAAGCGCTACACAATTTGATACAAGAAGGGAAACACCGTCTACACGTTGTCGAAACACGAGACACAGACATGTCGTATGCAGTACACTGAATTGTCGGGAAATAGAAGGGCAAACAGCGGGACCCCAAGCTACATGCAGATCGGTTAAGAACATGGTATCGATATATACTTGATCACTGTAGAAATAAATGTAAGCGCTTAAATATTAGTAGAAAAATGAGGGGGTTACCTCAAAAACTCGCTTCCAAGGCAAACCCTTCACCTTTGACGCCCGATCCGTCGGAACTAACTTCTGATCTGGGCTCGTCCCAGTCTTCGTCGTCATCATCTGATTCAGCGCCATTGACGAAGGGGTCCATGGAATATTTATCCTTGGTGATCAGCTGGTTGGGGTCATGGAAGTTGTGATCGACTGCGAAGGCCTCGAGTTGATTTAATTGCTCCTCTGAAACACTGAATGCTTGTAGCTCCTCCTCGTAAGTTCCAACACCAAAGTCAAAGTCATCTTCAAGCTGGTTTGCGTGACGGTGGGTCATGAACCTTTCGAACAGGCGAGCTTCATTGGACGCTGCAACGTATTCCCGAGCATTCTTCTGCTGAAGTAGGTCAAGAAGTCTTTTATGATGCTCAGTCTCCTCTATCTCCCACGCAGTCATAAGGAGACGCAAGCGTGACTTTTCACGAGTCGCTTGCTTTGCAGAAACAGCTTGTGTGATAGTCTCCTCATCCATGCTCTGCAACCCACGTCGAAAAATAGCAGCAGCCTGTTCATTCTTATTAAATGCCACACCATAAGATAGATAAGCATTGAACATACCGCCTTTGCATCAGTTAATGATATATCAGCGTGATCATTCCTGAGTATTGACCTCCTTGTCCAGCGCAGTTCTGGTGCACTTGGCCCAGCAGGGCGTGCATAAGGAGTAAATTTCGATTTTGCACGGGTTGTATACTGAGAGAGGCGGCGGACAACGCCATGGGCTGGAAGAGATGGAGTATAATCCTGAATGATGCGAGGGCTCACAAAACAATCGTTTAAATCGTTGGGCGGGGTAAGTGGTCTGTCGCTTGATGGAGGAGATGAGCTCTGGGGGGGAGATGAACTCTGGGGGGGAGATGAACTCTGGGGGGGAGATGTATGGCGTCGGTGAGTAGATATCATGATATGTGTACCGACTGTCAGCAGTCAAAAGCGGGAAGTATCGGAGTTTAAAAGACTTGGAGGAATTCAATGCAATCAACGCGGATCTGGAACGCTTGTACCACAATGAACGATGTTCCAGCGGACGATATTCCTTGGCCTCAGCAGATCATTTCTGATAATGCAAGAGATCCTGCCGTGACCTGCCCTAACTCAGACTGCCGACAACATTTTCCATCCATTCATGACTTGCTTTCTCACCTAAACCACCCAACTGAGACATGCTGGCCGTCAGGATCTGAAGGACACATGGCCAAGCCTCCTGCATTACGTGGAACCCGCAGACATCACGATGGGCAGTCTGGAGTCGATGAGACCATGGATGATGAATTTAATCGGACCGCTCAATACCATCCATTATCGGGCTATGTCTACGGAGAAGGACAGAACATATTTCAGCAAATTCAGAACGATGAACATGAGCCAAAACGGGTGAAAAATATGTACTGGCCCTTTCGCGATCGTGGAGAGTGGTCACTCGGTAAATTTTTAGTTGAGACCATGACACAGACAGAGATTGATCGTTTTCTCAAACTGTCTTGGGTATTTTACATGATCTGTCCGTATACTACTTGCTAACTCTACATTATCAGTTCGATGTGAAAGATAAGCCCGCATTCTCGAGTGCTCGAGAACTATTGTCCTGGATGGACCTTTTACCTCCCGGGCCGAAATGGCAGACCACACAGTTTGAAGTCCAGGGGTACACCACTGCCGCTCCCATTCATCTAATATGGCGTGATGGCCTTGAAGTCGTGAAGAGCCTCTTTGGAAACCCTATTTTTGCTCAAAATATGTCTTTTGACCCTCTGCATGTCTGGGAGGGTGCGCAGCGAGAATATGGAGAGTGGTTCACAGCAAATCGAGCATTCTCGACACAAGTATGTGCTTTTTTTCTGTATCGTCACATTCTTAACTATCGACTATTCCAGGATCAGCTGCCTGAAGGGGCGACTATCGTGCCCATAATAGCTGCATCAGACAAAACACCAGTCACAAGACAGACGGGCGGTCTGGAAATGCACCCTCTTTTCCTCACTATCGGCAACATCGACTCTGACATTCGTATGAAGGCTACATCCCACGCTTGGCGATGTGTGGCGTATATGCCAATCCCAAAGTTTGAAACACATCCCGATTATCATACGATTCTGAAGTCGCGTGTCTGGCACAAGTGTGTCGACTTAGGTCCTGTTTGGACAGCGAATATTATAATTCAATTCAAAATTCGACCATCATGTGACACTACACGTAAGCCAGCTGTGAACCTCGGGTTCACCGTGTCGAGTGGCACACTAATTCCATCACAATGTCTGATAAGTCTGGTACTGGTTCTACACGCTCCCTTTGGTCTCAAGGTCCTGCTGATAAGAAAGCTGAGGGGACTGGCACATCCCGCAAGGCTGCTGCGATCTGGACAAAGGAGGAGGAAACAGCATTGCTTGAGTCTCTTCTGGGCGCTCTTTCTTCCTCAGGTGATGGTGGCTTCAAGGCACCTGCTTTCAATGCAGCAGCAGAAGATCTGAAGAAGAAATTCCCTGATCAAAGGGGTGCAGTAAAGACTGGGACAGTGTGCAAGAACAAATGGACATCGGTATGTTTACATAAAAGAACTCAAATTTCTTATCGGCGCTGGCACTAACATCAGTGCAATATCTTTCTAGTTGAAAACATTGTATAATGCTGTAGTTGATATCAAGAATACATCGGGATTCACATGGAGTGATGAAAATGGGGCAGGTATTGCATTGAAAGATGATGACGTCTGGGTCAGATACATCAAGGTGAGTATCGTACAAAGGAGCTCTAATACATGTACTCAATGTCATCTCTTTTGGCAGCACCATCCCACCGCAAAGCCCTTCAGGAACAAAGGATTCTCCCACCTCGCCCTTATGGAGCAGCTGGTTTCTAGTCAGGGGAAAGGCAAATACGTCTTCCGACCCCATTCCACCAGTACTAGTGCCGCCCTCAACTTGAATCCCACACCAAGTCCCACCACATCTACTACCACTGGCTTTATCGTCCCCCAGACCCCTAACCGTAATTTCACCACCATGCGCACTCCAGACACAGGCTTACTGGCCAGTGCAAATTCAAGTCAGGGTATGGATCCGGAATCCATCTCACCATCTGTCCCATCCACCTATCTTTCTCACTCTGCTGGCTCCTCAGTGGGAGCATGGACAAGTGTCAGCGATACTAGTGGAGCAAAGCGCAAATATAGCGCACTCTCTCCTGAAAGCGCTGCAGGCTCCAGTCACTCGAAACGGAGTCGTCCTCCATCTGCAACACTGAAAGTTCAGCAGGAAGGCGCGGAAAGTATGAAGGATCTTGTCACTGTAGTTCGTGAGATGCAGAAGAACATGGGGCTGTCAGCCCCCCAGCAGTTACCATCACCACCCCAGCAAGTTTCAATGGCCAGGCTCGTGCAGGCTATCGCCCTCCTCAACCAATATGCTAACAGCGATCTTTTTGAAAGTGTTGAAGAGCAGCTGGCTATCGCTAACTATTTAGCGGATCATGAGAGCCAGGCGGTCCTTTTCTGCTCATTAAATGAGCAGACAAGACGTGCCTGGTTGGAGCAGAAGCGGCGCCAGCTGTGTGGATATGCATGATACATTCATTGTCGTTTACCAAATTACATGATAGACTGTTGTGTACTACGTACTAGTACTTTGAACTTCGATCCCTATGAAAACTGTATAGCAGGCTATTCTACAGTTACAGCAGCCCCCGACGTGCGCGCTCCGCAAGATAATCGGTCCACATCGCTGCAGCGATTCCATCTCGACGGTTGTCTGCCTCCCTTCTCTCCCCAGCATCTGGCTGTCCTTCTGAAAGTGTGCCCAATACCGCACCATGAGTATCATCATTCTCCGCGAGATCATAATCCTCCTCGGGGTCGAAGAAGTCGGGATCGTGCTGGCGAATGAAGTTGTGGATAGCGCAAAGCGCTGCTGGGATCCGTGCTTGAATCTCCATGCTGTATTCTGGCGCAACCTGTAAAATCCGCCACTGACGCTTCAGGACTCCGAAAATACGTTCAATAACGTTGCGTAGCGAAGCATGTCGTAGATTGAATAGCTCTTTAGGATCTCTGGGCCTGTACATATAATTTAATCACACTAAGTACTAAGGAGACTCAGAGAAAACTCACGCAAGGTTCGCCTGACGCCACTCCTTCAGATGATAGCGCACGCCTCGATAAGGGATCAGTAGTGCGTCACAAGTGCCAAAACCGGCATCTGCGAGAAGATATTTCCCTGCAGGCATGTATAAGTCGGTTTTGCGTGCGTCATTCCAGAGTGATGCGTCAGCGACTGAGCCATCCCAGCCACAGAGAGAATATGTAAAGCGAAACTGGAAATCGCAGATGAACAGACAGTTCTGGGACAAGAATCCCTTTCGGTTGCGCAGGACGACATGGTCGTCGAGTGATGCGAATGCACGGATGTGGGTGCCATCTATGGCACCGATGCATCGATCAAAGAACCGGAATGACGGGTTGTCATGTATCATTGCGGAGATTGGTGTATTTTCGTTAGGAAACTTAACTTGCGATGTGTAGAACGGATGGGATGAAAAGAAAAAGAGCATCCGCTTGAAATATCTAGAACATGGTCATATTAAATGAATTAGATCAATAGATGTGAATGTACTACCTTGTTATGGTGTCTGGAGAGTGTTGAAACCTCTCCCCAACGAGGCGAGATGAAAGTCCAGTCACACATGTGTAAAGAAAGATACCAAGTTGCTCGTCGACCGAGATGCCATTGCGCGACTGAACAAATCCATGCTTGTGAAGAGTCTGCACCAAGCTCTCAAAGACTTCAAGATGGACGCCAAAATTATGTTTGATACGATCTGGGTGACCAGTAATCAGTTCAATCACCCATGCCTTCCCTGTTAAGATTGATGTGTGGTATGGCACTTTTTCAGCGCGGGATGTAAGTAGCAACTTGTAGTAGTAGGTGATCTGAGCGATAGCGATTGTTATCGCAAGAAGAATGAGGTGTTTCCGACGCAAGTCACTTTGTGCTTCGAGGTCCATGCTTAGTTGCGGTGATGGTTGCAGTGCAAGATCTAATTCAGTAGTATTAAGTTAATCAATAATCAGAATCAGTCGGAACAGTCGGCGGAATCTAGGTCACCAAATACATCACGTGCAGTGTCACATGATGGTCGAATTTTGAATTGAATTATAATATTCGCTGTCCAAACAGGACCTTAGTCTTTGCCGGCTTAAAAGTCACAGCAAAGGTCGGCGAGTTTATGCCTGACCCCTTCGGTGAACTTCGATATTGCTTTACCCCTCTTGTCGCTTGGATCGCAGACCTTCCAGAACAGTTGATGATCGCCTCTGTGTCAAAGAACGCTTCCCCCATCACACTGGCCACTCACAAGCAATTCGGGGATGCCAACCGTCACGATCCTCGCACAGCAGAGCATACTCTGGAGCTATTGTACATTCTCAGCCAGTCAATTGACCCATGGAATCTTGACCGGTTCCAGAAGAAGTCAAAGGAGCTTCTCCTTCTAGGCGTTCATCTTCCGTTCTGGCGCGACTGGCCACTTACCCAGGTTTCTATTTTCCTTGTCCCTGAAATCCTTCACACCCTGCACAAATTTTTCTTCGACCATCTGTTGCAATGGTGTAAAGAAGTGGTTGGAAATGACGAGCTCGACGCACGCTACAAGAGCCACCACAAACGTATCGGCATGCGTCACTTCTCTTCTGGGATCTCACATGTGGCACAGATGACTGGACGAGAGCATCGTGATATCCAGCGCACCATCGTCGCCATGATTTCGGGCGCTGCTCCTCCTGAATTCGTGCGACCTATTCGTGCTCTCATCGACTTCATGTATCAAGCACAGAACCCCATCCATACGGAATCAAGCATCGAAGCAATGCAAGCGTCACTTAACGAATTCCACAATTGCAAGGTGGCGATCCTGGAAGCTGAAGCACGTCGGGGGAAAAGCAACGTCAAGGAGGATTTCTACATACCAAAACTCGAACTCCTTCTGAGCTTCGCGGAGGCCATTAGGAACAACGGTGGACTTGTTCAGTTCACTGCGGATGTTAGTGAACGGCTTCTAATCACACATTGCAAAAGCCCGTTCACGAGAACGAGCAAACAGAAAGATTTCGGGGAGCAGATCGTCCACATCCTTGATCGTGAAGAGCGGATGCGGCAGTTCGATCTATATCTCCTCCTTCGCCAACACAACCAAGCTCTCATTAATGCCGTTGTCGATGAAGATGAAGAAGTATGCGCCACGGACCCGACAATGGCATGGGTTTCTCGTGTCGCCCCCGACGAACAACATCATTTCAGTGCCCCCAGGCCCATACGCAATCATTTTACCAAGGGCATCCTCTCCAATAGTGCCAACGCAGCGCTTACCGTCACTCGCTCTCCTGATGGCTCAAATCTCAGCTGGCCTGATGTGATGCACACCTATGGACTCCCTGACCTTCGTCACAAGGTCACAGAATACATTCAGCGATACACAGATGATGTCGAAGAGTGCTTCCAGATGTTTAGTGCCATCAAGGTTTGGTCCAAGTTTCGTATCCAACTACATTCGACATTTCGCCCATCAATCATCATGCCCAGCCAAGCTGTCCAAGCCGAACCGCCAAGTGATGCATTTCCATCTGGAAATTGTGATGCGATTTTCTTAGACATGGATCAAGGCGCAAATAACCCTGGTTGTAAGTTGGTTTATGCTACCTATCGTCCATGTACTGACAACATCTATTATCTAGTTTCAGTTGCTCAAGTTCGCATTGTATTCCAGCTGGCTCCACCCCGGCGCTCAACTGCAAAACTTCCTGACTTCTTGTCGCACCCCCTCCTCTATGTCCAACCTTTTCGTATCGTAACAACCCCCGAGGATCTAGAGGACACTCGATTGTGGAAGCTCGAGAGGGTCTATGCACCTGAAACGCAGCCCAAAACCCGCACCGGGTTTGTCATTCCCATAACAGAGGTAACACACCCTGCGGAGTTGGTCCCGGTGTACGGAGAAAAGGTTGACCGTTCCTTGACTTTAACGACGTCTCAAGAGCACTATGACCACTTTTATCTCAACCGTTATGCGGATAAGGAGATGTATAACGCGTTGCATGAATCATTGGACACTGAGTATACTCTTTAGCATTGATCTTGTGTCACTGTTCTTTCCAGTAGTAGCATCATTTGTAAACACAGTACTGCAGGCGCAATGATCTTGGTCTTGATTAGATGCTTTTTGGATCGATAAGACAATGATAAAATTCCACCAATCGCATGAGTTCGCTAGTGAAGTCGTAAGCATTCGTAAGTGTCCGTAACGCGCGTAAGTTAAGCGTTCATTTCAGTGGTTTTGCAGATGCAGTAAGTCCGGCAAAGTTCAGCTGAGTTTAAATGACAAGGCACAACTTTGCACCGCAACACGCGCCTCCCGCCGTTGCCTGCCAACACTGCACACCCGCCTGCTCGTCGTCGGTGTGGCTGACGGGGTGACTGTAATCCCGCTGCTACGTGGTATGTTAGCCATATGAATTCGAAACTCTGATTGGAAAAACTAAGTGCCCCAGAGTCTGCTCCAGACTTTGGCCCTAGAGTGTCCACTTTCAAAGTTTCTGGATGTTCTCGTCAGGGTTGAGATATACGGGTCGCACGAGATAGCCCTGCCAAAGGGTGATCAGAACACACATTTTTCCTAGATTGCACACCGTCAGGTACTAGTGGTTGTCAAAGACGATAGCGCCCTCTGATATACAAATGTCTTTCTGCTCAACCAGTGAATCGATTTTAGGAATCACGTCAAAGCACAAACAAGCAAGTTCAAGACCGCCGATATCAGGTTACTTAGCTTCTGCAGTAAATGCGGTCCTCAATAATATCAATAAGTACTGCAGCAGCTACACACCTTACTCTCCAATCATGATTATGACCGGCCATAGCTCGACTCCATCGCGTTTTTCGTTCTCGATCGGTCATTGATTCGAATGGAAACATCTAGCCCCTTCAGCTCATTATCAGTACTGTATGCGCACCCTTACTCGCGTCATGCTGGATTGCGCAAGCCCACTAGCTTTGCAGGGCTGCTGATTTTTGCATCGTCGAAATACATATTAAGTACATCGAGGAAACACTCCCCTGGGTCGATGAGAGCGAGACGTCGAAGCTGCAAGCATTTCTGTAGCATACGGTAAGCCATAAAAGAGCACCATGCAATTTTTTGAAAGGATTGTTGTCTGGCCGGAAGAGGTCGGAGAAAAAAGGTGGTGGACTAAAATATTCAAGGAGTGAAAATACGTAAACCAGATGTTGGCGGAGGATCGTAGAAGAAAAGTTAAAGGGTTGAAGGACAGGCATGTTCTGGAAGATCAGGTTGTCTGAATCGAATTCACCTTTGGAGTGCCGAGTAAGAATTGAGCGAGAGATGTCACATAGCTTAAGGTGCTTCAACGCAGGTACCTCAAAGAAAAATTATAGCTGATGGGGCTGTCACTTTGAAGACTACCGTGACCGGAAGCACTGGGAAGTACACAACGAGACCCGTGTCAACTTTGAGCCTGTTCTTCGTTTTGGCCAGCTAGAAAAAGAAAGCGCATGCAGGGTAGCGAAACGATTGAATGATAAAAGGATAGGACTTCAGTACCGTACTTCATTTTGTCCGGGGGCTGTGTGTAAATGGTTCATGATCAGCTACGAACTCGGAGACTATCGCAGTGTATCGAGAGATACTTCATGTGGGAACACCAAGGGGATCAAGTTCATTATTATAATCGTGCCTGTTGGAAGATATATGAAGTTAGGTGTAACGAGAGATTTGAGTTGGACAGACAACGAAAAAATCCAAAATGCAAGACGAACTCCTTTGTACAAAGATTCAAGTTTCTAGAATAAACGTGTTTTATTTGCCCAGTGCGCATAGTTCCCTGACCACATTCTCATCGATCCTCTTGGCAAAACATGGCTCAAACGGAGCAGCATGTATGGTTGCAGCGTCCGAGAATGCAAGCGTGTCAATCTCCGCTGCAGGATTCTCCGAAAGGCGGAAAGCCCACAGAATGAGAGCTGTGGTGATAAAGACCGACCGATTCGCGACATGTTGACCAGGACATACTCTGACATTTTCAAGTAAGGAATGAGAACGGGTCGAGAGATGAACGATGCCACTCACCGACGGCCAAAGCCAAAAGTGAAAAACCGGAGATCACTGCGCACACGACCTGCATCGTCAATCCAACGCTGAGGATTAAACCTGTGTGGTTCCGGGAAGACTTCAGGGTCGTTTGCGATAGCCCTGAAACACGAGCATCAGACACAAAGGTCAGAGGACGAAAATGATTGCCTACTGACCAATGGTTCCCAATCACAGTCGCGCCTGCAGGAATGAGGTAGTTGTTCCAAACGATGTCCTTAATCGCGCGATGCGGAAAGCCTGCAGTGGTCGTTCATTATCGCGTCATCACAACTCAAATAAGACGTACCTCCAAGAGTGACAGGTCTCCACCTGAGACTCTCGAGCATGAACGCAGTAACCTGTGGTAGCATTTCCTGATCATCAAATGTCGGCACTAATCAGGGGCTATCTCAGTGAGTGGACGAATAAAGAAAGGCATAACCTACGCCGCGTACGCCCCACGATATTATCGAGTTCTTCTTGTACGCGAGTCTGCGCATCTGTATGAGTGGCAGCAGCCATCATCATCATTGTGATTGCGGACGCAGTCTACAACAGTTGTCGAGTGAAGATACGATGCAATGTAAAAACTTACCGTATCAGAAGCGGCCCCAAATATCACTCCTGCAAGGTATCCCAGTTCCTGATCTTCGAGCTGGTACTGTTTCTGGTGCTCTAACATGAACCTCGCAAAGGATGGCCTTGCAGTCCCCTCGCACTTCACAGTGGTGAGCGAGCATATCTATCATCACAACAAAATCACGAACCATCTGCATTCGCACTGTGTCAAAGTGCCTGTTACAGAGAGCAAGTTCTTCTTTGTGCCATGCCTTCAGCTGACTCAGGTAGCCAGGGACGAAACGCAGTATTGGATACGTATCCACAAGGTATGCTCCCGGCTTCATAGCTTGACCAAAACGCGCAAGAGCCTTATTGATGGCAACGATTTCACGATCCGTATATGAGGTCGGAGTAATTTTTCCATAGGTGAAGGACATGACCAGCGAAGCTGAATAACTAAGATGATCGGATTACCACCTGTAGCGCGCAAGCAAGAGCAAGTGTTCGTACCGCATGGCATGACCTTGGTGGTTCTTTGGATCATTTAAGATATCCAGAACCAGATTCTTCCCATGCCTAGTCTGGATGGGCTCGTAGGTCTCCGCAACCTTGGGTTGCAAGCCTGCATGCAAGACCCTGCTTTACATTCAGTCTCGCTGATCGCACGTGGTAGAGACAAGATGTGTACCTGCGCAGCCGGCGAAATCTCTCACCAGAGCCCTCAAGCAACACTCCCAACCCGCCAGACAACGTCTCATGCACTGCAATAGAACGCGGGCGGTCGGCAAGATTTGCTCCCTCTTTTTCCATGATATCCATTGCAGCCTATGACGTGATCTACTCCATGCCTGGATAGACAATGAATTGTTTTATGCTGACCTGATGACGTCCTATAACCACGAAAATCCTATGGCCTTGTTTGAAGGAGAACACAGGTCCGTATTGTTCTGTCCATCTCGCGAATTGAAACGGCGCACTGCGTGAGGGGTTAGATAGGGATCATGTCGGTGTCCCTTGACAATGACTTACTGTGACTCTGGCATCGCATTTCCTAATAGCCAACGTCCAGGCGGTCCAGGGGGTAATGGCAACCGCCTTGCGGCCTGATATCGTTGTTGCACTATCCAGACGCTGGCTAAGATAATGATAAGGGTGCATGCAATGATAAGCGCCATTGACATGGTCCGGCTTGCTGGTAGTTACGACTCAGACACCCCGTTACTTTGCAATCTAAGTACTCGAACAGAGAGATGGTGACGTGCTGTGATGACCGACAGGTACAGTGAGATTAGAGTGCATCATTACACTGACTTATCAGTACTTATACAAACACGGATTGAAGACCTGCGTTGATAAATCGGACCTGTGCGAGTCACGTATTGTGGCCTTCCTATAGTATAGGAACGCGGCCTGAGGCCTGAGTGCCAATGACCACCCTGGTGATAAGCTAGTAGTACATCAGGAAACCGGCGGGAAAAAGGTTTTTGTAGATACAAATAGCAACATCAGTGTGACGTCCACGTCAGGACTTGACTCTATCGGGCCTTCGGACTTGGTCGGGCGTAGCTATTTTGACGCGCGCCTGCCGCGGTCGTGACGCGGCGTGACGCGCATGTGACGCGGCACCAACGAGCCTTGACACGGCCATTCTACATTCGACTTCCAGATCAGTTGTCACGTCTATTTCAGACGAATGTATCATTTACGCCGTAGGCCAAATACCAGCCCTAGTACGAAAATATTACCATATCCCAAGCTCATATATACATACATTACTACATGCTCATCTACAACCCCTCTCCATACTTGGCCATAACGGTGCCTTCCGTGGCTGGAAGTGCGCAGCACTCAGAATCGTTTGGGGTGCGCCATCACGCTATCCACAAGGCCCGATTGGTCAATGAGGTTTCTGGGTCCTGCGTGATCTCGAACAACCACAAGAGGAGCCCCAGGTTATGAAGGGAACTTGAGGTCCTCCCGGATTTTGCCATCGCCGTCGAGCCATCTCTCAGGATCAAACTTGTCAGGGTTGGGGTAGACGTTTGGGTCGCGCGAGATAGCCCTGTCAAAGCATGATCAGCGCACAGATTTCGCCTACATAGAATGCACATTAGTCGGCACCAGTGGTTGCCAAAGACAATAGCGCCTTCTAGTATGCAAATGTCTCTCTACTTAACCAGCAAATCAATTCAGAAATCACGCCAAACTATTGAAAACGTACGTGCGGGATGTCGGTCAAGGCACGGTGGGCGAATACAAGAGTTGTCACCGGCCTCCAGCGAAGACACTCCGGCATGAACTTGAACGCCTCAATCTGCGGAAGGGAACCGTAGTCGTCCAACGTGGGAGCTACGATAACGGGGCTGAGTTTCATGAGCTCACATGCTAACCTACCCCTGTCACGACCAATGATGGTGTCCAGTTCCTCTTGCACTTTCTCCTGCGCCTTTGGATAGCATGCAGCAGATGACGACAACCATAATCACTGGCGCCAAAGAGCGAACCGGCGAGATATGCCATTTCTTCGTCCGAAAGCTTGTACGAAGACTGATTCTCGAGAAGGTACCGAGAAAATGAAAGTCCAGCTTCGCCGGTCGCCTATGAAGAACTGGTCAGGTGGGTACTTAGAAGAGATATTCGAAAACCGACCCATTCTTTCGAAACGCGATTGAGAGCTCACTCTCTTCCCTTTTCCATTTCTCCAACTCGATTGTGTATCCCGGGAGGTATCTGATTTTCGGGAAGCGTTCTACCAATAACGCACCAGGTCGCATGAGATTCTGGAAGCGCTTGAACATTTTGTGGATGATGACGATTTCGGGAACAAACATGGTGGTGGGCCTGGACTTGCCATACATGACACGCAAGATGACTGAAGCGACATACATGACAAGTGTACAGCGGCATGTTTTCCAAGCGCAACCAAACACACCTAATTATGTAAACGCACCAAACAATCCTAGCAAACATTTCAAAATGCTCCCTTCGACTATTTATTTTTCTCCCAATCTCGAACTAGCGCTATTTTATCGAAAAACTTTGAAACGCGGCGATAAAATCGACAACCTATCCTCGATTGTCCTCGACATACAACATTATCCACTAGTCATGACCTCTTGACGATTTTCACTAGGATTTACTGCAGACCAGCGGGGAAGGTTGTATATACATTCAATGAGATATTAGCTTCGTCGGCCGCTTTGGTGATTGAATATTGAAGATCAGCGGCGAGCGCATTGCGGCGTTCTTAAAAGGTATGTCAGAGAGTCCAAAATGGGCAATTCTGTTGGGCGGAAGTGACATCATTAGTGGACTTGAAATGACGTCGTGTTGCGGTCAGATAAAACCAGTTGGGAATACAAACGAGAACTCCAAAAAACCCTCTTTACCTTACCATGTCTCTCCCGCCAGCAACCCAAGATATTTCAGAACACCCCAAGGCAGGCTCTGTAGCCGCACCAACGGACAAAGCTGCCAAGGAGGCTGATGTCTCCAGAAAGGTGTGCTTTTTATTTAAATAAACAGTCGTAACAATATTCGCTCAATATTCTCGTGGACCAGATCAACTTTTACGGCGTGATTGAAGCATTTCGTCAAGGTCGTATGCCGGACAATCATCAAATAGACGAGACACTGCAATATTTGCTCAAGTCATCACCAGTGGATGAGAGCAAGCTGTCTCAAGACGGGCGAAAACTTGTTCAAGATTCTCGTGAAATTATCGAAACTGCCCGTATCATAGTCAACGAGAAAAATGCCGACGAACTTTTCCAGAATTTTATCTGGAATACTCGCGATGTTTCTCTTGACAGTGTAAAGACGGACCCCAGCGCAGTCGCACCTGATCACCCTAAAATTGACGAAGACCGCCAGACTGGTGCGTGTGCGTCCATGATCTGTTTGAAAAAGTACTCAATGCAATGCACTACTAGCCGTTCGCCATCTGCGCACTATTCTTTCCCTTATCCTCACCAATTCCGAAGTTCGCAAGTTACTTTCTGATTTCTCTGTCATCGGAAGAGACATACTTGCCAAAGGAGCTTCGAAAATTGCTGAGAGCTTGCGTCCTGGCGAGGAAGAACTTGCCCATGTTGACGAGGCTGCTCCCCAAGATGAGTTCGTTACCAAAGGTGAACGCAAAGTTGGCCCTGGTGAAACACCAGTTCTGGAGGCGAAAGTTCCCGCAACGGATACGGTCGTTGCGCATGACCCCCACGCCGATGATGTCACAGTAACCACAGGGGACAGCTCGCAGAAATCTGGGAAGCAGATCGCTAGCGAGGGACGTGCTACTGTTGATGATGTGAAGGATAACGCGAAAGGCAAAGCATCTCAGGCTCAGGACACAGCTCAAGAGAAAGTAAACCAGGCTCGTCAGCAAGGGTGTGTAGTTCTTCCTGATCCAGGTCGTGTGCTCATTCACTTCTCAAGTAGCGTGGAAGGCGCTGGACCTGACACTTCATCTTCAGAAACTGAGGGGAAAAAACGGGGGTTTAAGGAACGCATTCGCGGTTATGCAGTATGTTGATATTTTCTTCATCTGAGCCACCATTTCTAATCATTTTGCCGTAGGGTGGTTTGTCTGAACGCTTCCCCCAGCAGCACCGAGACCGAGCCTCCGAGCACTACGAGCGAGGACGCAAGTTCCTGGCCGAGGAGTACTTCCCCGTGGAGCGCCGTGATCAATTCATTTATCGTGGGAAGAAGGTTATAATTGAGTGCCAAAAGCATGACGATTACCAGGACGCCATCAGATGGCTTCTCGACGAAGTCGAGCGATATGTTTCCCACGCGCAAACTACTGCTGGCCATGGCAAAGAACGCGGCAGTGTCATCACGCAGGTGTGTTTTGTACCGGTGTAAATGTTTTGACTCCACCTAATCCTCGCGAAGGATAGAGCACTCAATGCTGCCGTGTCTGAGCTTCGTACCCTGCTCGAGCGCTTCGCGAACAGTCGCAGCATGGATGGTATTTTTGACGCTTCCAATGCTCTCATCGACGATGCTCGTCGTGACGACGAGTTTAGGAACTGGTTCCATCGTTTGAATACGTACATTCGCAAGGTAAGTGTCATTATAGACATGGTATGACATACTCACGGCAGTGTAGGTTTTACTTGAGGCGGGCTTCGTGCTGGAAGATAATTGCAACCGCGAGGGTCACGAGATTCTCGAGTCGGGTCGTCACTTTTGGGACCACAAGTACAAAGATCACTTCGACAACCTCTTTGATACCATTGGAAAATGGTTCTCGGCGATGGGAGAAGATCCTTTGAACAAACGCTTCGGCGAAGACTGGGCTCGATTGACGCATGACCTACTATTTGATAGTGAAGGTAGCTTGAAGTTTAAGGCCGATCTATGGAGCGATATCAGAAACCTCATTTTGCCTACGATGATGAAAGAGGTACGTCACTGTTCAGCTGCTAGGGTAAGAGGCTAATAAGACTGGTACTCGAGGTTGGATATGTACCCATTCCGCGTGTCGAATACACCGACGATGCGCTTGATCTTGTCGTTGAAAACCTCACTCTTCAAGGACGCAACATGTTCCCCAACGTTATATCTATGGAGGCATTTAACTTTTTGAAGTTTAGCCCGCATGACGCCATTCAAGATGAGCGGCATCACGAGTTCACAATCACGCTTGCACAGATCCAGGCGGACATGCGAGACGTTGCCGTCTATTACAACAAGAAAACCGGATTCCCCAAAGCGAAGGACTCTGGCTTAGCAGACATTATCCTCGGTGGACAAGGCATGACAGTGACTATCCATCTTGTTTCTGCCGACAGAGATCGCAGCTCCGTCTTCAAAGTCAAGAACGTGCACGTCAAAGTGGATTCGCTGAAGTTTAGCATTCGCGATGCCAAGTATAATTTCTTGTATACGACTTTCAAACCTATCATGACAACAGTAGTGAAGAGTCACATCCAGAAGGCGGTTGCACAGGCAATCAGGACTGGTCTGGAATATCTTGACGGACAGATTGTCACTGTGAGGGATCGCATGGAGGAGACGAAGACGAATGAGGAATTGAGTCGCCGTCAGGTTCTAGAAGATGTAGGTCTTGACCGATTTCGCGAGTTATCCCGCTAACCGCGGTGTTAGCTATTCAAGCACAAGAAGGACGAATCTGGATTGATCAAGACATCGGAGAGCAAGTCTCATTTCAAGGTTGTCCATAATAAGCGCGCTTCGATGATTCAAGAAGGACATCCATCCGGGTGGGTCAATCGAACGACCGAACGCGAGGAGAAGGCGAAGGAGGGCAAGGAATGGAGGAGCAAAGCGTGAGTTCACCTTTCGATCACCAAGCCATCGCGGCATGCACTGATTCTCGCATGCACAGCTTCTCGATTGTGCCTGATCCTACCGCCTCTTGAATACCGCTTCTCAGATTTTGGCGTGTGAGGTGTCGATATATTTCTGTGTTACCTGCCGGAGTTCAAACATGATCACTCTATGGTAACCGGTTTCTGTAATTATGCGGCCTATACCTGTATCATCTATGTAATGGTGTGGCTAATGCATTTCTTGTGTCGTCTGGACCTGTTGAACAGTTTCGTTCCCCACTTAGTAGGTTGAGGTGTTGTGCCAACCTCGTGCGATGGCTTAGAAGTTCCACGTCTTGAGCCGAGTGTGTTCGTTTCGAAGTGATATCTACCATATGTAAGGACGGAACGTTTGATCCTGCGGAAGCAATTCGCGTGACTCTCCCGTCCATGGTCCACCTGAGCTCCAGCTGGACTGCCCCGTTCATACTCACGATGAAACGTTTTATCCCACGGCAAGTGCGTCCACCTCATATACATGTTGCACCTGAGCTCCACCATGGAGTCAGCGGAAACACTAGCTCCTTGGTCATGTACTCCGAATCGCTCAAGCGTTCACTATCCGTATTGTATTTCATTCATAACAATGACAATGACAATGCAAAGCTCCAAGTTCCATAACGAGATATGATAGTGACTAGCTACTTCCAACTTCCTTCCCATAAAATCCAACCGTATGTAAGATAGACCGAGCGCCATGGTAAGGCCCGGGTAGGATATCCACGTCCAGCGTGCAATAAAGATAAACCAATAACCATATAGAAGATGCACTGAGCAAGGACGAAAAGAGCGAATATTCGAAAGGAATGTCGGTGATAGAGTCAAGCGAGTGTGGTTAATCGTAGAGAGAATAAGTTTCAGAGGGAGTGTTGATAACAGAATGAAACGAGTGTCGTTAGCCGTAGAGAGAGTGGTGTCTAAAGGAATGTGGGTGATAGAATGAAACGAGTGTCGTTAGCCGTAGGGAGAATAGTCTCAAGGAATGTCGGTGATAGATATGGAATGAGTGTCATCAGCCGTTGTGTCAAGATTTAGATTCAACACTAGAACACAGAAATAAGGAGTAACGTTAGTAGCAGTGACGGATGCAGGGTAAGGGGGCCATACATATTCAGACGCTGACCTAGGTCGCAGGTACGATATATCCAGAAACTGACCTGATCATCTCTTGGAGACGGAATTCGTACTTTCCATGCTCAGCATGGGCCCTGCTAGCAAGCAATGGTTTGCACCCCTTCTGATGCCGAGCCAAAGAATCGGTCCTCGACGACAGCTTCTTGCAATAGGGGCATCGATAGGACGCAGAGAAGTGGACCCCTTCGATGTGACGGCTCAGAAACTTCATCGTCTCTGTGTCCGGGCAACCCTTGAATCGGCAGGAGCTCGGAGTGGTTCTCGTCGGTTCAACCCCATGCCAAAACCACAGGTGGTCGTCGATGCGGATCTTGTCCACCTCTATGAATAGGCCACACGGCTGGTCGGTCCAAGCGCATGAGCGTACGCAGGCCAACTGTGGCGAGTGGTAGTCAGAGGCGTTTCCGGATTCTTCGGGGTAGGTATCGTCCAGTTCCATAACCCCAAATTTCCTCGTTCGGAGGGGATTTCCGTTGGGATCATGGGTCCTGCGGCTACGGATGTCGACAGGCTTTGGGTCATGAACAGGCATGGTCATGATCGTGGCACTAGTATCCGCTAGCGTGTACAGACCAAACTTGCCCGGTCCGTAGTCGTCGGTGGTGTTCGGGCGTCTGCGCTTGCGCATCGATGGTGTAACGGACGAACTCAAACCATCCGAGGTCTGGAGGGTTTTCCGCTTACGAGGACTGGTAGATGCTGTCTCGTCGAGAGCAAAGGAAGTTGGCGCCACGTTTGAGCCCCCACTAGATTCCGTCTGCAATGGAGCATATTGACCTTGGGGGAATGTCATAATGGGGTAATTCGCGTTGGACGGACTCGCAATGGTGGAAGGTTGCTGGTAAGGGTAGGAGGGAGCAGGATGATATCTATAATGGGCCAATGCGTGGCCTTGCGGCGGTGCTAGAACAATCGCAGAGGGTCGTGGGTAATACGCACCAGGGGTTCCATTGGCATTATATCCAGGATTGTATCCATGCAGGGACCATACGGTGCCTTGCGGTGCGGCAGAGGGCTGCGTATATGTGTTGGGAGGCCTGTTCATGAAGTATCCAGGGTTGTATTCATGCTGGGACCAAGGATGGCCTTGCGGGGGCGCTTGAGGGACGGCAGAGATCTGCGGAGGATAGTGGAGCCCCTGATCGATGTGGGACAACTGGGGGAGACCAGCCACCGGGGCGGCGATATTCTTCAATGTCGGAACCAATTCGAACATCTGAGGATTTTGAACATTTTGTGAATCAGCCCCAGTCCTGGAGAAACAGATGAGCAATGACGAGGCCTCAGTTGCGAGTACACGTACCCTTGTTGCGTCGCTAGTAATTCATCATAGTCTGTCCTGTCGTTGGACGTGAGTTGCTTGGTCCTGATTGGCTGATTAGATTGGCTTACCCGTCAACATGAGCATCGGCTGGGCCTGCCAGCGCGTCTTCATTAATTATACTACGCATTAATTCATCGCTCTCTTTCAACAATCTGTACGACCGTGAGTTTGAACAAATGATTTAGGTAGAACTGCATACTCATCCAACTGAGCGCACACTTCGGGGGACATCTCGCCGCTGTGGTGAGCTGCGACCAACTTGCCCAATTCTTCAAAGGACAACGAATCGAGGTCAGAATCGCCGTGGAGCGGTACATGGTCGTTTAACATAGGCATAGACTCGCTAAGAACATGATGAGATGAAGCGCGTCCTCGAACTCGAAATAGAACACTAACCTATCGAATGGTGTATGGTGGCACGAGGAACTAGATGCGTAAGGTAGTGTTAGCATATCAAGCTACCTACCTGACGTGCGAGTAGACTTACATAGACATATAGATGAATTGAACAAGTGAAGTGGCTAAGATGATGAGACACAGTAAAGACGAAGATGAGAGAAATAGAGCAGAGAACGACATCAGGTTTTATACCTCTCGACGGGCGGGGAAACGATGGACAAAGGACGACTGTGGTCGTGCATTGAGGCCACCGATTTGACATTATCCCCCGACAACACGTCGGGAAAAGGCAAGCGTCTGTGGACATATTCCTATAGGATATGCACCTGTAAAATTCGCTGCTTTGTAGCGCCACGCGTGCATCAGTCCACAAAAACACTGATATCACTGACCCGAATGTGACGATCAAGTGAGTACTGGTCCTTCTCCACTAGAGGGTGACATCACATGTGGAGAAGTACAACTCGGATAAGGTTCCAATTATAGGGAAAACGGGATTCTCGCAGACTTGAAGCATTGTCGCGGCACACTCGACCACTTTGGCAGCGGTACCTGCTCAGGACAGTGGCGAGCGAGCTTGAGTATAAGGGGTACATTTATATATTGTTGCGCCGTCGGCAGACACTGAGGTGCGTCACGGTAGAATCACAAAGATCTGAAAGTTTTGATGCGTAGGGTCAGTCGCATTTTTATTGTAAACGTGCAAAGACGCTTACCTTGTGTGTCCACTGCGTCGCAAACCAGCTCAGCACTTTCTTTTGATGCGGTAATTGGAATTTGAAGGGGTGATATAGTGGAACCATCCAAAGCATCATACCGCAATATTTTTGAGATGGAAACCATGGTTTTGACCTAGCGCTTAAATGAAGATTCCACGATCAAGCAGGGACAGAGAGAACACAGCCCGTAATAGTTCCATATGACGCAAGATGAAGGAATCATTCTGTGTGCTAGAGGGTCCGTTAACAGTTATACAGTATGCTTTATGATACGTGAGTCACATTACATATCGGTTCGAGATAAACGCTTACGGTGACTTTTCAGGGCTGCACGCATCGCATGTGGGTTGCATTTATATTAGAATTCGCCGTAGCCCTCAGTTGTGCCAGACCAGTGCAGAGTTCAGAACACGAAGGGTAAGCGTTGTTTTAGTCTGTTGTGCAATAGCTTTGAAGACTTTCCTTATTCAGAAGCTTGCCACTTTGCAAAACTTTGCTTTGTCAAAGCAATGGTCAAACGTTGAACTCTGCCGGGCTTGCCGATGATGGTCTCCTGACTCCTGTCCAAATCCCTGACTTTCTAGGTCCCCTGAGGTATTTGCTAATGTCACCAAGCTTACTGCAATAACAGTTTTAGTCTTGTTCTTGTGCAACCTCAGGTATTTCTCCCCAAAGTCGAACTATTTCGCAGATCGAATCACGATGGCTACCCATCATACACCACCATCACAGAAGTCACTGGTACCACCCCCAGATACAGCCCTAGTCCCTCGACACACCTCACAATCTGATTATCGCATGGGGGATCTGGAGCTAGGCCGCGACGCTTTTCTCACTGATTTGAGAAGCTATCTGCAGGTCCCGTTCGTTTCCCTAGCGAAGTGTGTTGATGCCGTGCCTTCCCAGCAGCGTCTGGAGGAGATGCGCGATCACATAATTCGGAGCAAGATTCTCACCGACGACGGCCTGAAATGGAAGGACTTCATTCGACCTGCGAACTCGAAGAGGTTCGAAAAGGTGGAACCCATTGATCTCAAGCTCATCCTCTCCGAAAAGCCGCATTTATCTGCTATGGGCGACGTACCCGACAGTGGTAGACTGTCTGTCTTCCTTCCCGCACAATCGGGCATTGTTGGGCGAAAGGATGCACAGATCGCACAGAGAGTCCACGCGCGCATTGTTTTTGATGATGGTGGAGTCGCCATCAAGGATGTGATCTCTTTGGCCGACACCCTGAGATGCTTGTCTGGCGGACTGAAGGGTAAAGCAATCTTAGTCTCCTTACCTCGATCGCTCATGCCACCCTTAGGCCTATATTATTTGCATAAGGCAGGTTGGATCCATGGCGATTTCAGCGTCGGGAACGTGATTTGGGTCGTCGGCGACAACGGGGGTATAGGCAAACTGGGTGACTTCGAGTACGCGCAAGAGATAGATCCAAACACTTATCATGACGTTCGAACGGTAAGAATTTCTGAAGATGATACCTCTCGCTGCTAATTCGTCGACAGGGAACAATCCATTTCATGGCGATAGAAGTTGAACATCAGCAATACCTTTTCCAAACCCTAGCTCCCCCTCCGCCTCCTGATGCAGATGTCCTGCCCCTCCCTCCATTCCGCATGAACTTCCTGCACGACATCGAATCTGTATGGCGGGCATACACGTGGATCTTCTTTTATCACACGGACACCATCACGGCGAACTCCAACGATTCTTTTGATGTAGATGCGCAGTTGAGACAATACCAGCTAGCGTTCCCTGGTGCGATTTGCCAAGGAACACGCCAGAACTTCTTCACTCTCACCACAGAACTTCACAACACCTGCAGATCTATCCTTTCAGATAGATGCTTTAAGGTTTGCAAGAATATTGCGCAGTTTGCATATACTCTTCAAGCCAGTTATGAAAAGGCAGAGAAAAAGTACCCCTCGCTCATGCTTGATGACTCCCTTCTGGAAGATATGCATGCAAAAGCCGCAGAATATCTCGATGATGCGCAAAAAGAAGCCGGCGATATCAAACTTTGTCGGCTCCTCGACCTCCGCAAGCAGAAGAGGCCCCGAGAAGAAGGTGAAACGTTGCCTATGCCAAGTAATGCAGAGAAGAGGATCCGATGCGGTTGATGATAAAGACGAGAAGATGCTAGACCGAGTATGACTCACACTTGCGATCGCGTCATTATCAGATGTGCTTGCAAAATATCCTCCAAGCCTTTCACATCTCACCACCATCCACCCTATTTTCCTGACGGTCAGGTTGCCAACTGCAGTCTGCGATCATGCTCTCCAGCTTTCTGACTAGCCAGCAATTATTACAGATTTGCGTTGCCACTCGCCACTTCACAGCCGTGCAAAGGTGTGACAGATGCGACAAGCTAAGGCTTTCGGATATGGCACAACGATATATTTGAGACGCGCAAGAATAACCAGATACAACCCAAGGTAAATTCAAGAACGCCGACATGTAACTAAGACATTTCTTATACTGTCCTAATTCGTTGTGATATTCTGAACGAGTCAGGGTAAACAAGGTCAATGTTTCGGATTACGCAACTGTTGTCAGTCCTGCCTGATACTACGACCAAGTCCGAAGGCAGATGTAGTGACGTACATCCGAGACCAAGACAAATACGTGCGGGCGGGCGAGGATCAGTTGACGGCTGTCAGTCCAACTCTTGCCCATCAAGTCGCTATATATACATCGAAATGTCTGAAGACGATTCAATTCACACCACCTAAAGCAGCTGCATGACATATCGACACTTCCTGGCTTCAGCAGGACAATATCCCCAGTATAAGCACTAATACCGTGACAGGTCTCGGAGAAAGCTCCAGCACACCGAATGCGCAGGTACCGTCACAATTGCTGGTAGAACACCTACCTTTTAATAACGATAGACGACCTGCAGCAGTGCCGGATACACCAGATGACTTAGATCAGGAGGAGCCGGAAGAGGAGACCCTCAGGCCCCATGTTGACGATGACTGGAACAAAGTTTATGACTGATGAGTATTAGTATAGCTTAGTTTACACATTCTACGGACACATAAGACAAATTTATGTATTTTGATGGCCACTTGCGCATGGGTTGTCAAAACCCGCCGTCAATACGTTCACCTGGGCACGAGAGTGGGAGCTCATCGTGCCGCTCAAAGGTTCAACGACGCATCACGGCATTTACCAATATGCCGGCGGCACCCTCTGAGAGCCTCTATAAAAGTCCCTCATTATTGAAGAGATATTGAAGAAGGCTCTGATTGACTGTATTTGCCTCGTGTTAGAGGTGCGAACCCCATATATTATCACCTGTAACTAAGCTGTCGTTATGTGGGAGTGACAGGTGGAGCGGCGGGATTGATTGACATGGTCGTTCGAAACATCGAGCGGAGTTCAAATCCCACTCGGAGGATGCCGATTTTCGTTACTCAGACTAGACTGTCCACTGGCCAAATCTATTTGCGAATCCGAAGGTATTTAAGTGCTGCAATAACAGTTTCAGTCTTGTTCTTGCACAACCTCGAGCATTTATCCCCAAAGCCGAACTGTTTCGCAGATCGCATACGATGGCCACCCCTCATACACCACCATCACAGAAGTCACAGCTACCACCGCCAGATACAGCCCCAATCGCTCGCCATACCTCACAATCCGATTATCGCACGGGGGATCTGAAGCTAGGCCGCGAGGCTGTTCTCGCTGATTTGGGAAGGTATCTGCAGGTCCCGTTCTTTTCCCTAGCAAATTGTATTGGTCCCATGCCTTCTCCGCAACGTCTGCAGGATATGCGCGACGACTTAATTCAGAGGGAGATTCTCACCGACAACGACCCGAAATGGAAGGCCTTCATTCGACCTGCGAACTTGAAGAGGTCCGAAGAGAAGACGTTCGAGCCCCTCAAGGAAATCATCTCTGGAATCTTGAACCAAGTCCCGGATTGTGGAGTATCCTACGAATCGAATCCAAATGAAACGCCCATCTCAGAGCGCCACAATACTTCCCGGCCGGATGGATACCTTGTGCGGGCGAACGATCGAACTGCACCCAGGATGCATTGGTTCGATATTGGTGTACCCTTCGAATTCAAGAAGGAACGGGATGCCAGAGCTGTCCAAGATGTAAGTTGTTGTTACAGATATCTTCGCCGCCGGCTTATAAACTCTGCTCTAGAACGAACACAAGATAATCTGGAGCCTTCACAATATCATGCGCGAGGACCCCTGTCGTCGGTTTGCCTTCGGTATCACAATCGAGGACACGCAATTGAGACTGTGGCTTAGCAATCGTGGGTTCCTCGCAGTCACAGAGCCTATCGACTGTTTCGAGGTACGCCACCTTATCGCGCTGTATGTCAGTGGTACTAACTGGTATAATACATCTAGGACATTGATCGTGTCATCTCTCTCTTTCATGCTCTTGGATCTGCGTCTGCGTCTACCTCCTTGAAAGGGCTCGGATGGGACCCCACTGTCGAGCGGATCCGTGTAGGAGAAAAAACGCAATACAAATTCACAGTAGGAGACGAAGTGTTCACCACGACACGGGAACTTGCCACCTACGGCGCGGACTCTATGGTTGGGCGTGGAACTCGCGTGTACGCAGCCACGGACGCTAAAGGGGAGACGGTTGCCATCAAAGATTCGTGGAGAGAAATTGACCGCCAATCTGAGGGCGAGATCGTAGAAAAAATCTTGGCCTCCTGCGAGAAGAAGCTGGGAGCAGAGGATTTTGCTGATGCCAAGAGACACTTCGTTGGAGTCCGGCTCTGGAAGGATGTTACAATCGACGATGCCTCGGATGAGACGGTGAACCCGGTAGCCGGAGACAAGCATGATGGCACCTGGAAGTGGAAACCTATCGATTTCGGTCCCATCCTCTCCGAAAGGCTGCATTTATCTGCTACAGGCGACGTACCTGACAGTGGTAAACTATCTGCCTTCCTTCCCGCACAATTGGGCATTGTTGGGCGAAGGGAAACACGAATCCCACAGAGAGTCCACGCGCGCATCGTTTTCCATGATGTTGGAGTCACTGTCAAGGATCTAGTCCTAATCTCTCTGGCCGACACCCTGAGTTGTTTGTCTGGCGGACTGAAGGGTAAAGCAACTATTCTTATTCTCCTTACCTCAATCGCTCACGCCACCCTTAGGCCTATATTATTTGCATAAAGCAGGTTGGATTCATCGCGATTTCAGCGTCGGGAACGTGAATTGGGTAGGGGGTATCGGCAAACTGGGTGACTTCGAGTACGCGAAAGAGATCAATTCAAATATTTCTCATGACGTTCGAACGGTAAGAATTTCTGAAGACGATACCTCTCGCTGCTAACTCGTCGGCAGGGAACAATGCATTTCATGGCGATAGAAGTTGAACATCAGCAATACCTTTTCCAACCCCGAGGTCCCACTCCATCTGGGAGAACACTCCGTGCTGCAGACCTCCCGCCCCCCCCTCCATTCCGCATGAACTTCCTGCACGACATCGAATCTGTATGGTGGGCATACACGTGGATCTTCTTTTATCACACAGATACCATCACGGCGAACTCCAACGATTCTTTTGATGTGGATGCGCAGTTGAGACAATACCAGCTAGCGTTCCCTGGTGCGATTTGCCAAGGAACACGCCAGAACTTCTTCACTCGCATCCCAGAACTTCAGCGCACCTGCGAATCTGTCCTTTCAGATAGATGCCTCGATGTTTGCCATAATATTGGGCATTTTGCAAGTACTCTCCAAGACAGTTATGAAAAGGCAGAGAAAAAGTACCCCTCGCTTATGCTTGATGACTCCCTTCGGGAAGATATGCATGCAAAAGCCGCAGAATATCTCGATGATGCGCAAAAAGAAGCTGGCGATATCAAACTTTGTCGGCTCCTCGACCTCCGCAAGCAGAAGAGGCCCCGAGAAGAAGGTGAAACGTCGCCTACGCCAGCTAATGCAGGGAAGAGGATCTGACAGGGTTGATTTTTATTTATTGATTGTATGATAAAGACGAGGAGATGCTAGACGAGTATCTCGTAGCTGTTGTGCTTGCCAATAATAATACACGTGCGAGATCACACGCTTGGCATGCTTTACATTTTTGAGTGAGTCTTATTAGAAAGTTTTATTACACACCGATCTCCTGAACCTCTGCGCAACTGCATACTGTCGTGCGCGTCTGATAAGACTTTATGGCACCATATCGAGGGTTTTTACCGCGATTTTATCCCTGAACATGCTCGCGTTGCTCTGGGTCGAGGCCTAGTGTAACGCTCGTCAAAAGTCATCGCCTAATATCGACGATGACAACCAATATACTCTTAGTTACTGTTCTTCTGACTCATTCCTATTTTCCTTCTATCATATTCCTTAGTATTCCCAGCTCTACAGTATTTAAGACCTTAGTTTACATACTGTTAGGGCAGTTGATCTTTTACCCCCTCCGAATACAATTTAGTTCGGACAGTCATATCGTTCGAAACCTAAGTTTATTCAAAACAAATTATCTTCTCTCTCGTGTCACACTTTCTAAGTGTAACATATTTTTGACTGCCTTCAAACTCTAAATCTTATTCTACTACGGCCGCCGTCAACGAGGACTGATCACCCTCGCACAACGACGACCTCTCTACCTTCCTATTCACCCTAGAAAACTTCCTCGACGATGTCGAAAGAAAACGTACCTGGTACCTTCCCGTTGAGCTCCCCTGACCCTACGGGTAGGACAAGCATTGACACAGGCACCCTCGACCTGGGTGTCGATAGTGCATGGACTCGCGGTGACGAAGTCACTGCTGGAGTCGAGCGTTCGCTTAGTCAGAGGGCCGAACCCCCGACTAGTGATCAGCTATCCTCAGACTCGTGGTTGGGTGCTCTGGGAGCCCCTTCCAAGTTGAGTCTTTCAGCCCCCGGCATCTCTGATGACGGCGCGGGTTCTGCTCCTATGAGTATTAGCCCTATACTAGGAAGTGTAGTTGGACTACATACCTCTCGTATAGTGGTTGGCAAGACCAATGAAATTGATGCCACGTCCACTGACGACGAAATTAATACCATGCCATCGGTGCATATGAGCTGGTTTGACTTACCTGACGACGATGAACTAGGTGAAGTACCTGAGTTCCCAGTATTGAACCCCTCCATCCGTGCCCTCGAGTCCACTCCACGAATCATCGAGGAACTGCCAGTAACGTTGAATAAGAATGAGCAAACGTTAAGAAACAAAAAAACTCACCAAAACGAACGGACTGAGTGGTGGGCCGCTGAAGTGACTCACCAAAAAGGCCCAACTTCCAAGAATACCGGTGACCTAGGCGACGTACCAAT